CCAGATGTGTGTGTGTATGCGTGTCAGGGTCAGCCGGTTCACACACCTGCTGCCCTGGGGCATGGAGAGAACTATCAAACTATACAGTGGACAAAACTGCACTGGCATGAAAATACCTGCACACCACCACCACCGCCACACTCATCATCATGCACGATGAGCATCTGCTCACTGAGAGATTCAACTGACAATGACCCCCATACCTCAAACTGTGTGATTCAAAGATATTTCTTAAAACTGCTGTTCAAAGATATCAGTAAACCTTTTGCAACACAGAGCTGTTAGTGATTCAAGCAATTCAACTATAACAGCTAGACTTCTGTTTCTGCGAGTGCAGAGTTGCATCCTCAAATTCGATCACCAGTCATGTCACTGATATTTTCACTCTAAATTGTGTGTATATTATTGCTGGATATGACAGGTACTAGGAATAGAGTCTAGTTTTATGAACATACATTTTGATGTGACAACAATGATGTGTTGTACACTGCAAGGTTTGCAGGTGATGCAAAAAATTCTTAAGGCAGCAGCGCAATGCTCTTATTGGGAGTGAAGATTGACATTGGAGTGCTTTATAATGTTGCCCAAAAAGCAGGTCTGGGATGTAACAGACAACAATATTGAGAATACGTATTCAAAATACAGAAATTAAGTTTCTGTATTTAACCCACATTCTCTAAGTCACATTCTGTAAAGGCAGTATAAGATTAAAATGACCTTTTTACATTTTTAGGAGAATATTTTTAGAATATTTTACACCATCAATGCCTGTTTAAAACTTTAAACACTGCAAACCTAAAGCCTGAGTAGACTGATAATTCAGTGCGATGAGTCAGTTATGAATCAAGTCTTTTGAGTCTTCCCAGAAGCATTGGTGTCACACTGAATTTGTGCTTGTGTTTCACGACAAGTTACATACGTCATTAACTGAAAATCTCACAGCTACCCACTTTAGAATCAGATTTGTTTGATTTTGTTACTCGGATATGTTGAATTGTCAGCAACATGTGGCTCCAGAGCGGCTCTTTTACTGCCCTGTTGCTGCTCCATAGCAGAATTAGATTTTTAGCTCTGCTGATTGTTCAAACACAGTTTTAACATTAAATGGTCTTAAACGCTGGAGTTAATGTATAACTGCTAATTAACTGAAGGTTGGCGTGCAAACTGCTGGTCACAGCAACTCAGTCAACAATCTCACCTAGCTAGTAGCTAACGAAAAGGCAAAGAGAAACATTTTAGACGAACATCAATAATTTGGAGATAAATGGACTTATTTGCTTTTACAAGCACTCCAGTTGGTTTCTTGATACGTTTAATCTGCAATGAGAAACTGTCAAACACTAAAAAGTCACAAAGCTGAAGTCAGATTCTAATTTGTCAGCTGGAGAATAAGATGCTGACTTCAGCTTCATGACAAAATCGAACATTGAGAGACATTTACAAGAAACTATTCTACTTTTTCAGAAGACTGTCCTGCTGGAGATGCAGGAAAAGCAGCTACAGCTGAGCTAAAGCTTAAAGCAGAGTAAAGTAAGTCCGCATTTTCATTTATATTATACTTTTTAGCCTATACTAGCTCATTAGCACATACTGAGGCATATTTACAGCCAAGATGTTAAAATGGTCATAAAATGTTGTGGTTTGAGTTTTGTTAAAAGGACAAAACAGCTCTTCTTAACGTTTGGGATTCTGACCCCTGGCTTAGCAGCAGCAGCATTATGGGAGCAGCAATGGACAGAAGCAGGCGATGAGAGTCAGAATAATGTCGAGAATGTTGTAACTTAATTCAAATTAGTGAATTATTCAGAAGAATTGCGTGAAGAAAACTGCCAACCAGTAACAGTGTCAGTTAAATAAAAATAACAACAGCAGAGTGTTTCCCATGTGCCTATTCAATAGTATTCTAAATGCATTCTGAATACATTACTTTCAATGCATTGTAATGGAATATGTTGCTATACACATTTAGGACACTGTATTCAGTATTTAGCCATCACTACTTTAAGTTAAATACTGCCAAGTGGCCCAACACTGCCAAAAAAAGATGCATTTTATGTGCTTCAGCTTGTCTTAGTCCATACCCTCCCTGACTGATAGGGAACGGCCTATTTGGTGGGAAAAATAATAAAACATTCCACCTTTCGAACAGAGAAAGGATGGTTCCTATCTATTTTTATTGCCTCCTTGAACGGTATTAGCAGAAAGCCAACTTTCCTCTTAAACCCGTAAATCATTAGCATGAATTTAGTTCCACTGTACCTCATCCATTTAATAATAACATGAGCTCTGTGAGTATGACACTGCACCTCTAAACACAGGTTTATGCTACTAATCAGGACTGCAGTTATAACATGGCCATGCTAAATGGGCCATAAAAGTGCCCAGTGCCCATTAGATGGAGCTGAGCAGTACAGCTTGTTTGGTTTGTCACTGGTCATTACTCCATGCCTGTTCACACACAGCTGACAGGGCTGGGAAGAGATTACAGTTCAAACTAACAAATATTTCACAGGAAATACGAAGGAATTTCAATCATATATACACACACACAGGCTAGACAGAGTGCACTGGGTCAGGTCTGGGTCATGATGTTCATGGCATTAGCATGGGTGCTTGCTTGGCAGAGTGCCATAATACCAGGGCCTACGAGAAACCCTGCATAGCATAAAGCAGACACGCTGAGCTGCACTGTCTGTGTCTGACTACAGCTGTCTTTTCCCTTTACACTCACCAAAACACACACATTCACAAACATCCCTCTGTGGGAAAGACAGGCCAGTCCTGCTCATTTATCTAAGACGCACAATCATACTGTTAAAGAGAACGTTATCTGTGTTTCTCTGAACTCAGTGCAACCTTTTGTAATTACCACTTTTCAAAAATGCCAATGACAGAGGATGACTGTCATATTTTACTATTAGAAGCTCTTTACACTTACCACACCTTCAGACTGAGAAATAGCTTCTTTCTAAGAGCCATTACTGTACTGATCCAGTCCACCGAGCCGATACACTCACAGCACTGTTTTACTTTCTATATCACAGCATCATTACCTGCTGCACTGACACCAGTGACGAATGAAAACACGATACTTACGGCTGCTACTATCCTGATTGCCGCTGCTGAATACCCATAAACTACTACACACAGTGCACTGGCACTTTTCTATATTACTCACTGAGTAACATCAGTGACATTATTAAAAATATGATGCCCATGGCTGATGCCACCCTGACTGCTGCTACTTATACTGAACACTAACTGTTCAGTATGCAGCTTATATAAATATTGTTACTAATTCGTTGCTTTCTATTTTTTATATTGTTCTATTTACTATTTTATTTTTTTATATTTTGAACATACAAGTAGCATCCAGTGGGGAAGCTGCAATCCAATTCTCATCATACGTTTACAATGTCAATGTACAATCTGTTTTAAAACATGGTAACGTTGACCACTAGTATTCATAATGCAATGTTACACATCATATGTGTGTTTCCTGATGTGCACTAAGAAAGAGACTGTTGAAGCAATATTATTATCTATTCTTGATCACAGTGATGTGATTTACAAATGTGCTTTTGCTAATACTAAACCTTTAGATTCAGTCCTTCACCCATGAATAAGTGGCATAGTCTTTTCTAGCTGTACGTGGGGAAACACACTGGCTTCTGTTTATTTATAAAGCACTCACTGGCCATAAGCCATCATACATCACATCAGTGCTTACAGTAAATAACTGAAATGATCAAACTTGCTCCACTGACTGGATCACCCTTTACTGATCTTTCAGCTACAGTGCAGCAGCGAGCCTGACCTAACTACAGGACACTCTAAAGGTCCACCCTGTGTCACTCAACCATTTTAAACTTTCTATCACTGAACACATTCACTCGTCCTGCAACTGTTTTATTTGATCTTAGTTTTTTTTTGTTTTGGTACAGTTTTTGACTTTTACCGCATTTATTATTTCAATTAATTTTATTATCATATATTCATATTATTTTTGCTTCATCATTTGACCTATTTTAATTATTTTTCCTATTTTATTTAGTTGTATCGATAGATAAATAGATTTGATTGACTTCTTAAGTACAGTCTTTTTTGTACCAGTGAAGTAGAATGTGTAGTATGGACTGACCAGTGTACTGGGACAACAGCTCTGCAGCTGTAACTGTGCAGTCTTCGTAACATTACACATAGTTCTAAGCTAAATTAAAAAGGTTGTGCAGTAGATGACTGGTGAGATCAGCATCCAGGAAGATGAATGACGGTATGTTGTTGACTCCTGTACATCCTTCTTCCGTTACACTTACTTACGCTAATAGCTGTGCCTGCTGACAGTCACTTCCTGGCAGTATGACGTTAATGTCACCACCCAACCAACACCATCGCCCACCCCCAGTAGCAAAGTTGGTAGAAGATAATGACCAGTGGCTCAGTGGCTAATAAGCAGAGGGTTGCTGGTTCTACCTCAGAAGGAGTTTAAAGGATTTCAACATTCTTGCTTTCTGCTGTACACTACTGCTGCGCTCTTAAACAAGGCACTAATCTCTGTAATGATCATTATTTCTGTAATAAAACAGGATGCACTTAATAATTACAAGTGGACTTGGATATAATTGTCTGGCAAAAGACAAAGTAATTTAAGGGAAAAAGGGCAGTTTTTAATCTGCAGCGGAAATAACTGCTCTATCTTCTAAGGAACCCAGGCCTGCAATCTAAAGCATCTCTGGCTTCCTCTACAAAGAAAACAAAACAACAAAAAAACTTGTCATGTCATGCTTGTGGTGCTTTGTGTGGAGATTGCAACATAACGATTACACTGTCCTTTCAGCCTCCTTTGACAGGATCTGACTGAAAGCTGTTGCATGTATGTGACCCTTCTCTGAATTGGCCAGTCAAAATACAGGGTGTGAACGTGAGAGATTCTATCAGAGAGCAGGAGATCCAGCCATCAGAACATCAGCAGCAGCGCGGCCTGCACTATGCAGTCTCACCTTATCCTCCAGTCTGATCAGCCTGGCTCCAACAGTGTAGTACTCCTTGTCTACACCCTTTTCTGCGAAAAGACAAGAATGTTTTGTAAATATGTTGATAAAATTGGTAATCATCTTGAAAATATATTCAACGGAATGTGACTGTTTCCATTCTAAAGCCGTCAATGTACTGATCTGGAATTTCTAGGCCCTCTGTGATAAGATAACATACTATGACTAAGACTATGCATATACAGCAATTTATTCATCTACTAAGTATAGTTGTGCATGCATAATGTGTCGTTTGGAACCCTATTCTGTACATGTATAATAATATGTGATAATACAAATACTCTCAAAACTTTATAAATTCTTTTAAAGCTAACAGACTGAGGAAATGTTTACCTGGCAGAAACATTCCTGGCTTTCCCAACGTGTGATCCAACCTGCAAAAATACAGTAGGACACAATTAAATATACAATGAGCCGTCCAGAATTCCACCAATGGAACACAGTGCAGACAGATGGGAGAAGAGGAAGAGCTACAGCTCTAGGGATGCTGCAGTTGTCTCACCGTCTCTGGAGCTCTTTAATACGGACCATCATGTTGAGGTGGCCCTGGGAATACTGCTCTATCACGTCTCGCACGTCGTACGGCTTCCTTGCTTGCTGTGGAGACCAGAGACAGAAACCATGGATAAAAGCTATTGTCACCAGCACCGAGTGTTTCTGCATCCCCCTGGGCCTCCACTTCCACGCTTTGTTACCATGACACAGAGTTATTCAAGTTACCAAATAACACCAGCCAGCCAGAAAATGCAGCAAATGGTTCAGTAGGTGTTCAGAAACAACAGCTTAAGGGCCTTTGCAAATAAATTACATGGCAAATAAAACTGCAGCATACAAAAATTTCAATCAAAAACTTCTAGTAATGGCTTTAGGGATGTGCAATGTTACTGTAAATGGATATACTGAATTAATAATTTAGTGATTTAAGAATGCAAGATTTAAAGTGTTCAATTTTACCTGAAATTTCCTTCTGGCAACGAAGTACTGCATCCTCCTTATGACTTTGATGGCAGATCTGTGCGCATGGGAGAGCCTAAAGAGAACACACAGATAAACCCACACAGGCTGATTAACAGACTTTGAAAGGGATATCCTACAAAGTACTCCTGCATAGTGTGAACCCAGAAATACCGTCTGTGGAAACACACACAAAAAACTGAAAATCTGCACAGTACACAGATTAAGTAGGTCAATGTCAAGTACCAGGAAAAAAGCCTGTGTGTGTGTTAGATATGGGTTTGTGAGTGCTTGCCAGAAAATGTTTGTTGCTTGGTTGTAAATCAGTGTCATACTTTCAAATCCCACATTCATTTCTAACACTTAATCATTTTAATTTCCTACTCTCCTTTTTAAGTTATGTAAAAGAAGGCATTTGCTTTGTTTCAGGTGGCTTAGAGTAGGTATTACTTTTATCAGTGATGTAGAGCTGTGAGATAGCAGGATTCTCCTCATGTCTGCCCATAAACATCTGACCTCTGGATTTATCTCTGACTTTAAAGTGCTGCTTCAGCCTGGTGCTCTACACACATGAATAGAGAATGCTGAATTGAACCTTTACCAAGAGAAGAGAAGAGAAGAGAAGAGAAGAGAAGAGAAGAGAAGAGAAGAGAAGAGAAGAGAAGAGAAGAGAAGAGAAGAGAAGAGAAGAGAAGAGAAGAGGAATAAATAAAAGGGCACTGAAGAAAGAAAAAAGGAAAATGTTCAAAGGAGGGTGTCACATCCTACTGACAGTGAGCAAACAAAAACATACGTCACAAACGTCTGCCCCTGAGGAATGCTGCCTCGTCTGGTACACACACACACACACACACACACACACACACACACACACACACACATATGCACTCAATGTATTTTCAAAAATCTCCATTCACTTAAACACAAAAGAGCAAGGAGCAGAAACATGAACAGTGCTGTGCAAAAGTCAGAGACTGTTATTCATTTATTTAGTTTCTAGTCATAAAGTAAAAGTTTTCAGCATCAGGTAAAAAAGGAAGACATATATTTGACAGAAAATTACACAGAAAATAAAAATTTCAGTATTTAGTGTGTCTACTCTTTGCCTTTATTACAGCTTCCATTCTTTTCAAGAGACTCACTTTCAGTTTTTCAAGTAAATCTGCAGGGAAAATTTTTCAGTTTTAGAAGTTGGTTGTTTTTTCTGCAAGTAAATCCAATTACATTCAGGATGTTGAGATCTGGACTCTGAGATGGTCAGCACATTTTTCTGAGAACACCAGCAACTTCTTTGTTTGATTTGCACATTTTCTTCTTTTTTGTCTCAGTAGTGGCTTTTTGACAGCTACACATCCTTTCAGTCTCATAGCGCTGAGTTGTTGTTCTGACAGTGGAAGGATGGACAGAAACACCTGTGGATGTTTTCAGATCTAAAGTAAGAGTGGAGCTTGATTTTCTCCTCTTTCTCAAAGATGAAAGCTTTAAGTGCTGTTTATCTGACAGTGATAGTTTTGGTGGTCTACCAGGTCTTGCACGGTTGTTGTTGCAAGGAGTCCCATGTTCTCTGTATCTATTAATTATTTTTTTAACTTCCAGTTTTGGAAAGTCCTGTGTTTTGTTGTTTTGTTCCTTCCTTATACAAGTGTATTATCTTTTATCTAATTTCTTCAGGAATATCTCCTGAAAAATAAAAGAATGAGTGCTTAATGGTTGTTTTGACTGGAAATTAAGTAAATAAAAAGTGATCTCTGACCTGAGATGACACAGTACTGTAGGAAATGCATGTAGTGATAACAAATACAATATTTTTCACAGAACGTAGTTAAAAACAGAAACAAAATCGAGCGAAAACTTTTTTACCCTATTTTTAAAATACGGTCAACTTGTTAATAATAGAAAATAAGATTAGAAAACTAACATTTTCATTTTGGTTCACTCTTTACAGAAACATTAAATTTTATCTGGAACAAAATAATAATGTTAATAATCTGTAAATCTGTTTTGAAGTAAAGTCCTCGTTCTGGAAGCTGAAAGTGACTGTTTTAATTTATGCTCTGAGAAAAAAATTGGTTTTCGGTTTTTGTTTTCATTTCCTGTTAACCGTTTCTAATCTCTGTAGAAGAGAGGCCCCATGTCAGCCCAAAACTAGATAAGCCGTGCTCCGTGTTGTCACTGAGATGTGCTTCATACAGCATAAATCAGCTCCCTCTGCTCAGGCCTTTGTGTGGCTCCAGCGGGAGACTGTGTTGTTTTGACTGCTGCTCTCTCCTCGTCTTCAGCCTGGACCCTCTGTGGCGTCAGCAGCAGAGAGGACGTCTTAATTAGAGCAGAGGACAGAGCAACAAAGCGCCCAGCCGGCTGACACACACAGTAAAGCACACACATCAAAGAGAACGTCATGCACGCTCTGTCCTCCCCTACTCCCTCTCAGCCCCCATTGCCTCTCCCTCTCTCTCTCTCTGTCTCTCTCATGCTCTCTGTCAGTGAGGTACAGTATGTAAGTATGTAAGTGAATGTGTGCATGAAAACATCCGGAGTGGAGCCTTTTCATGTTTGTGTGTGTGTGTGTGTGTGTGTGGGGGGGGGGGGGGGGGGGTGTTCAAGAAAAGGAAAAAAAAAAAACATATTTTCCGAAACCAAAAAACACATGCAGTCAAATCACAAATCTTCAATCTCATGTTAGAACTGCACACTATGTACTGCAAGCTTCCACCAAAGAGGAACAACATGTCTGACAAATGAACATTTGATTCCACACACAAAAACCTCTTGTGAAACACTGATCAGAATCGACTGAATGGACTTACAGGAGAAGGAAAAGGCATTCTTAACTTTAAAGAGGATTTCCACAGATTTTCAGCATAATTCCGTTGCTGAGATCTAAATAAAGCCATTCAGATTGATTTGATGTGAAACAGTGCATTGCAAAGAAACTTACCAACTCTCTGAAACTTACCAGATTAGGTGACACTTTTTTTCAGTGGTCCTTTTTAGATAAAACAAACACTCTCAGTAACATGTCAAAAACATACGAGGGTCAAGATTAGGTTCTGGGATGAGGTTAAGTTTAGGGTTAGAATTTGGGCCACGGTTAGGACTAGGTTTTGGGGTAAGGCTGGGTTAGGGTTAGGTTTTAGGTAAGGTTGGGTTAGGGTTAGGTTTTGGGGTAAGGCTGGGTTAGGGTTAGGTTTTGGGTTAAGGCTGGGTTAGGGTTAGGTTTTGGGGTAAGGCTGGGTTAGGGTTAGGTTTTGGGTAAGGTTGGGTTAGGGTTAGGTTTTGGGTAAGGTTGGGTTAGGGTTAGGTTTTGGGTTGAGGTTAAGGTTAGGATTAGGGCCAGTGTTAGGTTTTGGGTAAGGTTGGATAAGGTTAGGTTTTGTGTAATGGAAGTAACATATTAACAATACGTCTACTTAATGTAAGTAATGAATCAACAGAGCATCTTCAAGATATTTACTTCAGTGTATTCAGATGCTGCACTACTGCTACTTCACTGATATGTTGTTGGTGTGTTACTGATAATCTGTTAAGAGTTTATTAATCATCATCAAGGACCACTCCAAATACAGTGTTACCCAGATTTCTTTACAGTGGTGGTCATAAGAACCAGGGGTCGTGACATCTACCGTGCAGATACAGCCATTTTATTTACTATCTACAACCAGCAGTGAACTCTTCTGAGTTTTATTTGCAATATTAATAATGATAAAATAGCAGTAAAAATATGTTTTCTTTGGGTTCTATTTTGTCCTCACACATACGTTGCCATGAATGGGTTTTAAAAGATATGTTGATGGCCAAAATTTTATGTCAGAACTATCGCAAAACAACATCTCAGTCATCATATTAAGTATCTGTTATCATTTCATGTAATAACTTTCTGTAAGAAGCTTGAGGCATTAACCTCTTCAGACATGTGGTTCCTATTACTACCATTATGAACAACTGTGATCTGGTATGTTTCTCCAGAATGCAGCATTTCACAACAAAGCACTCTGAATGATTTTGTTTACATCGTGACCATTTAATTATTATACTTAATTAGAATACTCTCTGAAATTCCTCTTTAATGGATGTTAATTTAATAAGACATTACCCCAAGTCAGCTGGACCCTTAATATTGGCCCATTCCTAATTAAACGTTCACACAATGTACAGGTTAGCTGTCATTTTTTAAATGGTGTTAAAAAATAGAAACACAGAGGGAGATACAAGGTTTTGACATAACAGTGACTGCTGTGAAAGAGTAAACATCGATGTCTGTTTGCAAAGTACTGCATTTTGAACCTCCATGGTGTGTGTGTGTCATGTGTGTGTGCATTCTGTGTTGTGCGACTCTTACAGCTTGGCATTAAGCATGGACTCCTCTTGACTGGGCACAGCTTAACACCCTCACACAAGCCCCGCATTGTGTTCCTGAGCCTCTCTATGATTTAGAGTGAGAAGGTTGTTGTCTCGTACTGAATGCGAGGCTTAGGACCGCCTGTGTGTGTATGCTGTACTTCACTAAGTCAGCTGGGGAGACCTTTAGAAAGCACACATACACACACACACACATACACTCATGCAAACACACACACAAAGGCAAAAGCTCCCAGCAGGGACTGTGTCTTATTAACTAGCTCCAGGTTATTGCAGACAGAACTCCTGCATTGTCATTGTGGATTCCTCTAGAAATTTCAGAATCAACTCAAGGGGGGTTCTGAAACTCATAGCCAGCTACTGACACTGAATGCAGTATGCAGTTTTCTTTAGTGCAGGTTCCCTTAGCAGAAATCATTTGTCCAGCAGGTAATTAGTGTTAGGCAAGAATGAAGGCACATGTTGCAGCTAGAGATATATAAATCAGCTACATGCAGTGCTCAAAACTAGTCTTGAGGTACTTCTATCATCATGTATTTATTAGAATTATTAATGTAATGGTAATATATTTTGGAAATTTAGCTTCACTATATTCAAAAGCACACCATTCTAGCTGCATTATAACTTATAAATTAATATTTTTGGTCCAGCTGCACAATAGCAAACTAAAAACTGTCACTTAACTTCCCATTTATTTTTAAAAAAATGTTGAGACAC